TGCAAATGAGTAAGGAGATGAGCAAAGAGTGCAAAGAACCTCACACAGCTGTTTGCCCTCAGCTCTCCCAATTGTGCACCCACAATTACACTGTGAACTCTGGTTCTCTTGCTTTATTTGAGACAGAGTCTCACTGAGTAGTCCAGGGTAGACTCAGCCTCGTAGCAATCCTCCTGTCCCTTCTAAGTGATAGGGTTACAGGTGTGCATCACCATGCCTAACTCCATGTATTTTATTTTAAATTTTTTTCATTTATTGTTTTTAAGAGCAAATTTTTACAGTCATTTACATCATTTCTGTTTTTGTTTTCGTTTTTTTTTTTTTTTGGTGCTGGAAATTGAACTCAGGACCTTTTACTTGCCAGCCAGATGCTGTGCTGCTGAGCTAGATTGCCAGTCATTTCTGTTCTTTGAATAAAACATTTTGAATTTTATAACCAATAAATGTGTGGCTAAGTCCAGAAGTAATGAAAATTAATTAGTAAGAACATACCCAGTCAACCAAATAAATCTTGTTTTTAATTAAAACAATTTTTTTGTCTTTTTGAGATAGGATTTTGCTATGCAATTTAGGTTGGCCTTCAACTCACTTTGTAGACAGGCTGATCTCAAACTCATAGCAATCCTCCCGCCTCAATTTCCTGAGTGCTGGGATTACAGGTATGCACCATCATTTCTGGCTTATTTTTTATTTTGTTTCAGTTTTGAGCCCAGGCTTGTCTTCAACTCATGATCTTCTCGCATTAGCCTCTTGAGTGCTAGTATTACATAAGTATACCACCATATGCAGTCAGGAAATACTATTTTTAAAGGAGTTTCCCTTGTTAACATTCATTCAGAAACATGGGACATCTGTCCATCATGACATGGTCAAGGGAAGAAAATAAAGAACACTTCCAGGCGAGGAGCAAGGGAGAAGGGAAGGCAATGACCGACAGGGAGGGAGGAGTTCAAGGGACATGATTCTTTACTAATTTAGGGCCAGCTGTGAGGTGGTGCAAAGGCTCTGGGGTAGATGGCCTACCACAGGGGAGCTGGAGCACAGTCCTGGAGGTCACCGAATCTCAACTGCGGGCCAGAAATGAAGCTGTGAAGTGAAGTGGAGGTGACAGTCACTGGGGTCGGGGAATCAAGGACTAAGAACCTCGGGTACTGGTCAATCCGCATAGACACCTGGCCAAGATGAAGAACAGGAGGGTGGCAGAGAAGACAGAATGCTGAGTTTAAAAGGTAGGGGGCAGCTACAATGCAATGAAACTCATTTAATGGGTGGTAACCACTCCTAAAACACTAACATAGCAAACTGTGTGAGAGTACAATCCAAGTGTTTTGAGAAAATTTTCTTTCAGGTGTGTGTGTGTTAAAAAGGTCAAAAGATGTAATATTTTAATTATATTTATTAACTAATCATGTTTAACAGATTCATTATTTTAATTTCATGCTAAATCCATAAGAGGATTTGGTACAGTATTTATTTATTTATTTGTTATTTAGGATTGGGTTTTGCTGTTTTGTTTTTTTGAGGCAAGGTCTTGCCATGCAGTTCAGGTTGGACCTAAACTCACTTTGTAGTCTAGGCTACCCTCAAACGTGTAGCAATCCTCCTCCTCAGCCTCCTGATAGCTAGGATTACAGGCATATACCACTACATCTGTCTCTAGGCTGGTGTGGAACTCATGGTAATCCTCCTGCCTCAGCTTCCCAAAAGCTGGGATTACAGGATATGTGCTATTATGCTTGGTTAGGTTTAGTTTTTTTAAAGTTGAGAAAATTTATTTAAGTAGGCAAATATACTCATCCCCTATTGTGTTCTAGAATTACCTGTTCAAAATAGTGTCAAAGTAGATTTTCTTTCCTTTTCTTTTTGTGGGTACTGGGATTTGAACTCAGGATCTTGGGCTTGCCAAAAGATGCTGTGTTGTGAGCTATATCCCCAGTCTAAAACAAGATTTTCACAAGAACAAGTTTATTCTTGGTAAGCGGTATGAAATGTGAAGTAAAGGATGAAAACTTACTTAGTTTTCTCAGAGATTCTAATTACCTGCTTCAGGATTTACAGATAAACACAGTGTAATTTTTATCCCTAAAGTTTTCTTTCATTCTGTGAATTGTCTGGGACAACAATGACAAGCCAAAGAGCAGGCGACAGAGTCAAGGGAAAGTCAAGCATTTTCATCCAACACCTTCAGCTCAGCAAGGGGCATGAATTGTGGATGGCTGGTTGGTGCTGCAAGGGACATCACTCTAACTGGTGTAAAAACAGGTCAAGGGCCAGGCATGGTGGTGCACACCTGTAATCCCAGCACTCGGGAGGCTGAGGCAATAGGATTGCTGTGAGTTCGAGGCCAGCCTGGGCTACATAGCAAAACCCTATCTCAATAAGATGGAACAAAACAAAACAAAACAAAACAAAATAAAATAAGTCAAGGAATGTGGAATGATTCCAGCACCTGAATGAAGATGTAAGACTCCTTGGACTGTCAAGATCATGCTTCATGTACAGCTGAGTTTTCAAACTATTATTTAGACTATAAAAAAATTAAGGAGTAATTGGTGTTTTAAAAATGAAAACATTTCAGGTATTTTGTGGAAGTATTATCTGACTTATACATGAGCATGTGTGTTGTATGTGAGTGTGTGCTGGGTCTTCCTGTCAAATGTCATTCCTGTTATGGGTCACAGCCAAAACCGTTAGAGATGTCTACCTCTCACCAGCTCCACTATGGGTCCCAAGGTCCTGACCCTGCCTCAGTGGAAAGCTACTAAATGCTTGCAAAGGGATTTTTATCCACAGAGTACACATAATTGGAATATGAGCAGATAAAGTGCGAGGCCTTATTCCGAGGCTGTTGTCACTGGGATATGATCTGTCCAGGTTCGTGTGCTCCAGTCCTGGAGTGGCTGTCCTGAGAGGTACTGGAACCCTAAAGAATGATGATGGCCTATCTGGACGTGGAGGTGCATGCCTGCAATTCTGCCTCTGGGAGGCTGAGGCAGGAGACAATTTTCTTAGTGATAACCACTGTGGACATTTCTGGTTAATTCCCCACTGTTGAAGTATTCCTGAGTTTTGCCTCTAGAAAACAAGATGATCTCACATAGACCCTTAAGTATGTTCCAGGAGGCCCTCACCATCCTACCAAAGCCTTTCTTCCCATTGCGGAGGCACCTGCCATTCCCCAGGCAGGCCTCCTCTTTCTCCTTTTCTTATATGCTCTACAAAGATGCATATAATACAAGCAGTGAGTAAATATATGAATGATGTTCAGTATCAGTGATCATTTGAGAGATGCAAATTAAAGCAACACTGAGATTCCATCTCACCCTGGAAAGAATAACTATAATCAAAAAAAATAATCAAACAACAACAAATGCTGGCAGGGCCGTGGGGAATGAGGAACTCTTCTCCACTGATGGTTGGACTGTAGGTCGGCACGACCACTGTGGAAAGCAGTGTGGAGTTGCCTCAAAAAACTAGGACTAGAGATTCCATTTGACCCAGCCATTCTCCTCCTGGGTATATTCTCAAAAGAATTAAATTATATACCACAGGAGTATATGTACACCTATGTTTATAGTGGCATATTTTGTAATAGTCAAATCTTGGAAACAAAGTATCATCAACTGGTGAATGGATAAAGAACATGTACAGTTTTTTTTTATGCAATTGGAGTACTACTCCACCATAGGAAGGATACACTTAAGACATTTCTAGGAAAATGCATGCACCTTAAGTTGATGCTCTTAAGTGAAATAAATCAGATGTGTGAATACTGCTTATTCCCTGGTGTGAGAAGCCCAAAGCCTAAAATAAAGACCAAAATATATAATAGGTATTGTGAAATATGAAGGAAATGATCAGATGGGGAGGAGAATGAGAGCGAAGGGAGCGGGAAAGAAGGGCACTCGGGAGGCTGAGGCAGGAGGATCGTTGCAAATTCAAGACCAGCCTGGGCTACAAAGTGACCTCAAGGCCAGCCTGAACTGCACAGAGACCCTGTTTCAAAAAGACCAAAAAAAAAGGGAAAAGTAAAAAAAAAAAATGAGAAAAACAGGGAGGAAGAGATGAAGGGAGGGTAGGGGAATGGGAAAAACACAAGTCATATCATGTACAGGTACAAATTCTCTATGGTAAATGTGATAATTATATGTATCTAAAATGTACCAATAAAATATGATTGGGGAAAAAAGATACATAGAGTGCAAGGCAGGGGAAAGAGGGACCCAAACTCCAGCACACCGGGCTATTGTGGGTTCAACTAAAACTAAGAAATAACAAACTTGGGGAGGGTGGGAGGCCCGGGCGAGAGGGTGTCCTTCCCCTCCAGAGCAGCAGGGGCGCTGTGGCTTCTGGGACACCACAGTCCTAGGAAGAGCAGAGTCAGCAGCAAAGTGAGCAAGTGCCAGCTTCTGCTGTCTGTGCAACCTTCCAATTAGATATTTTCCCCTTGAGCTACACAACCCTGTTCACACTATTTTGCTTCTGCCTAAGATTTTTAATATGACATGCTGCTTTTATTTTGTTTTTTGTCTTTTTTGAGACGGGGTCTCGCTATGCAGTTCAGGCTGGCCTTGAGCTCACTTTGTAGCCCAGGCTGGTTTCGAACTTGCAACGATCCTCCCATTTTAGCCTCAGCCACCACACCCAGCTGACATGTTGCTTTTTGATATGAATCTATCATAAACTGGGCATACGATTGGTGCTCAATAATCTTTCATTATATATATATATATATATGTACATTTTTATCTATATGTTTTATATATATAAATAAATGAAATTAACTTATAATCAGGAAATCAACAAAATCTTAGTAATGTCCTAACAGTAAGATTATATATATTCCCATTTGATATATTATATACACACTATATTACAGATTATATAATATGTGCTACATAATGAACAGTGATAGAAATACTAAAAACATTTACAAAGGAAAAGAAAGAAAACAATATCCTTGGATATCCTTGTCTGTCTAACTGTTTTAAAACAATTACCTGTGTAAAGAAAGGTGTTGGTGTGTCCTCCTACGACGACGTCCACACCCTTCACTTTCTGTGCGATGAGTTTATCCATTTCAAATCCAGAGTGCCCCAGTGCAATAATCTTGTTCACATTTAGAGTTTTTAGTTTATCTACTTCGGGTTGCAGTGCAGTGATTTCATCTTCAAATACTAAATTTGTTCCTAAGAAACAAGATAAGCAAAAAGATATTTATTAATAATTTTTATTGTTTTTATTGTATTATTTATTGTTTTGCTTATTATACATACAAGGAATAAGCACCTCAACTTATTAAAGCTGTTTAATTACTAAGACCAAAACATATTTATAATTAAATGTAATACATCTAGGAAGCCAATAAGCTACCAGAACTGGCTTGATATTTGGTACTCTTGTGATTATTTTTTTAAAATAGTTCATTAAAGAGAATAAACTGACAAAACATTAGAGAAAAAAACAGGCAGCTCACACGAGAGATTGCGTTGAGTTTAGAAAAAGCTCGAGCATTTTTTTTCCTGACACACAAAATGTGCCTATTTGTATTAATTTGAGCAAATAGCTTGCAGCAACAAAGAAACAAAAGCACGGTGCATTTTAAAATCCAAGGAGGAAGCTGGTAGTCACACTCCCAGCACTTGGGGGATGAGACATGAGGATGGTTCCAAGTTCGAGACCAACCTGGACAAAATGCAGACAACTTGAGATTTTATGAGTTTCTCTGGCACGAAAGTGACTGTCAATACTGAAGCGTGCTACTCTGAAGTCACATCCAAAACTGAGCTATAAGGCCGTCTCCAGTTAATTCCAGACTCCCTGATGCTAATTTGTAAAAACTACCCGCAAAGTGGAAGTGTTAACATATGAAAAATATCTCATACACAACTTTCAAAATGCAAGAGTATAAATTTCAGTTTGAAAAATACAAATGTCTCCATAAAACAAGACTATTAACAACTTATCCTTTGGTATACTGTGATGTCAGAGTCTCTGAGTGTCTTGCTAGGAGAACTCTCAGGTCCTAACTCCAGGAGTGAACTCTGCATGTAAAAATCAGCATGGAAGATAAATCTCACAGATGACCTCACAGCGAGGGAGGCTCACCGCCTGGAAACCAGCCACAATAGGTGGGTTAAGGTGCAACAGTTTTGCCACTATGGTCTATCAAGAGAACTTCAAGGGTAATTTGCTTCTCATCAATCACCCCACGAAGCCCCAGGCTTTGTATTAACCTAAATGCCAGCTTTCCTTTGCAGTAAGCTCTTCCCTAATCATCCCTGTATGCTTTTTAATTAAATTTTTGTCACATTGGTACATGTTTGCAATACATGATCACTTCCACTCTGTGGAGTTAGTACATGCACAGAACACACCTTAATTCTTTTTCGGTCCCCTTCTACTCCCCTCCCTCCACTGCATGGTCTCCTTCCCTTTTGCCAAAGATCTTATCTTCCTACTTCTTACTATCTTTTATTTGTATTTTGGGTTTCTCATGTATGAAAAACCATCTCATATTTAAGCTTGTGTCTCTGATTTATCCCTCCTCTTGGCATACCAACTCTCAGCTGCTGCTTACTCTCTCTCCACAGCACTCACCTATTCTGACAAACCACACATTTTATTAATTTAATTATCCTCTCACTAAACACGTAAGCTCCAGGGCACAAGGACTTTTTGGTCAGTATCCCTGATGCATAGAACAATGTGAAGCTCACAGATTGGTACTCGGGAAATGAACGAGTGTGGAGGGATGCTATTATCCTCTATTTTTGGTAGGCTGGCAAAAAGGAATAAAATTTTTTAAAAATACCTCTGAGAACAAAAGAAGATAGTCTCTCTTTTTTTTTTTTTTTGTCTTTTTCCTTTTTATCGGTACCAGGGATCAAACTCACGACTCCCTGCTTGCAAGGCAGGCGCTTATGCCACTGAGCTAAATCTCCAGCCCCAGAAGATAGTCTCTTAATACATTAGGAACCTCAGTGAGCCAGGTATGGTGGTGCATGCCTGTAATCCCGGCACTCAGGAGGCCGAGGCAGGATGATCACCATGGGTTCAGATCTGGCTACATAGTGAGACCCTGTCTCAAAACAAAAACAAAAGAAGAAAGAAACTCCATAGGGCCAGGCATAGTAGTATACTCCTGCAGTTGTAGCACTTAGGAGGCTGAGGCGGGAGGATTGCTGAAAGTTTTTGGAAGCCATGCTGGGCTAAATAAAACAAATGAACAGAGAAACAACAGAGAACAAACAAGAAAAGAAACCACACAAGACTGGACATCACATATATAAACAGCATGGGATGTATTTCAGGATATCACAAGGAGACATACCACAGGACTTTCATTACCTAGCTAAATTAAATTAAATGTGCTAGAAATACACTAGTTTTATACTTGTAGTGCCCAGGATGCTATACTGGGAAAACTGGATTGATTAGGGATGAGAGATCTGTAGGAACAGCCAACTCAGATTTTCACTTCTAACTTTTCATGCACCAAATTAAATACACTTTTCATGACTTTTCCCCTGCTCAGCTCTCAGCTTGCACACTGCATTAAAATAAATCCATATACCCCTTAAAAAAGATACTTTTTGTGTCAACAAGTACACTGAGAAGAAGAGGTAGTTGCTTAAATAAGCTACTGAGAAAACCAGAATCCACCAGAGTGGTTTCCTCATCAGTCCAGTTCTTCCTACTTGGGCTTACAGTCCCTGCAAATAATGTCAAACTCTGACTTCATGCCTCTATTTTCAAGTTACAAATACTGTAAAAGTAAAAAGAAATACCTGGATTTGAGAGAAAAGGGGTTTCTTTTGAAGTGTATCCAACAATTCCTACATTTTCACCACCAACAGAAAGAATTTTATATGGCAAATAAAGTCCTGATATTTGAGAGGCTAACGGTTCCTTGGCCTTAATGTTTGCACTCAGAACTGGGAATTTAGTCTCTTTGAGGAATGGATTGATCAGTCCTTCTACACCATTATCAAATTCATGATTTCCCAGTGCCTAGATAAAAGGAAAAAAGAGAGAAAAAGAATTAGGTACTTTGGAATTTCCAACAAAAATATGTTTTGGACAACATTTTATTAGATCAGGGACTTATCCAGTTGGCTAAGCTCTATGAGACAGGTCCCAGGGCCTGGTGTCTTTCCCATCTAGAGATTTTACTCTGGTACCTGAGCTGGAGCCAGGGATATCAAGATCATAAGATGATTATCTCATCCCAGGTTTCAATCATTGAGTGCAGCTGCCATTGCAAGCCCCAGGGTCTCTGGAGAGCTTCTCAGAACACTATCTCGCTGGCCCCAGTTAGAGGCCAGCTTCAGAGCCTACCTTTATCTGTCTTAACCTTTTTATCCTCTGTTTTCTTCCATAAACTGACATTTTTTTACCCAAACATTGAAATCACTGTGTCCTTGGGAGAAATGTTAAAATCATCGGGATTTTAACAAAAGGCAACCCGAGAGTATCATCAGCAGAAACCAGAGGCTTCCTTCCTCAGGGCACCTCGGTCATTATTCCCCAGATTCCCAGAATTATTTCTTGCCAAAGACTCTCGTGGTCTTTTAATTCTTCTGGGAAAATGAAGGAAAAAGAAGAGTTAGTGTCCCACATGATGCAGGTACTGGCTTTTTCCTTCAGTCAGCTCGGCCTCTCCTCGATTCTCTCAACAGGAAGAACCTCATGGTGAAATGATCTTGTGATCTTCAACGGCTTCTGGATCAACTCTGAGTGCAGGGCTCCGTAAGCAGAGCCAAGCATCATCAGTATGATTCCCTTCCCCCCACCACATCAAGAAGTCATACTACAAACATGAGATGCCAGCAGATTCTTCTAGAAAACCTCTCATCCTTCCTCCATCATCCCCTGGGTACACCTCCCTCATCTTAGCACTGATAATTTGCTCTGGATACCCAGACTGGTTTGCTTATTTTGTACTTATACAAGTAGACCTAAGACTTCTAAATACGATTCACATCCAGAATTATTTCACGTTGTGAGTCAGCTGGGGCAGCCTAAAACACTGGCTGGTGACTCTTTAAACTCAACGAGGGCCACAGTGTATCCCTTTAGCCTCAGCCCCTTCTTCCTAAAACATCGCACACTGCCATGGCAGGTGAATGGCGTTGTTCATTTGTTTTCTCCTGGCGAGGCTGGGTGCTTCTGACCCGTGTCCTGCCACCGCTGTCCCTCTCAGCAGCAGGGGCGGTGGCAACATCCTTGGGTGCACTACACAAGCAGAGCCAGCCATGCCATGCCTGTGTGTGCCCACAGCCCTGTCTCCCCACTTAATTCAGATTTCCCGAACTTGCCTTTCTCTCCTCTCACCTCTCTCTCTTGTCTAATTAACTTCCTACCTGAAAGCTGATCTACTGCGAAAGGGTCTCCCAGTCCCAGGTAATTTGTTTTCTTCTTCTATTTTAGAATGGCAAAGTTTCTTCCCGTGGTGACACGCTTCCTTTTTGATATTACAGTAACTGTCTTGCTTAACGGTAATGCTCTTTTCTATTAATGCATGTTTCTACAGTTCTGCAAAATGATTATCCAATTGGTCGGTGACATTCTAGTCCCAGTATTTGACAATAGCAGAAATTAGACTTTCCTTTATGAGTTGTTTCATGTCTTCCCCCTTCTCTACCTCAACTTCAGTACAGTGGTGCCTCAGGTCATGAGTTTAATTTTTTGTTTTTGTGGCGCTGAGGATCAAACCTTGTGCATGCAAGTAAGAGCTCTACCACTGAGCCCCAACCCATGAGCTTCATTGTTTCCACGATCCTGGTCACCAAGTTGGATGAAAATGGAATCAAATTCGGTGGTTAGACTTCCAGGAGAACATGGCGGACAGATAACAGCAACTACCGGAGGCTCTCTGAAAGACTTGGCTCAGAAGCCAGGAATGGTGCGGACTAAGGAGACATAAGCAGGTGGAGATATGCTCTGCTGACTCAGGAACGAACTGGGCTGAGAGAAACCAACTTGGAATGCATTCCTGGTGCTAAAACAGGAACAGAAAAGCCTCGGTGTGGAGGCTGGACCCCGCGCCATTGTAAGCCGAGATTTGGGTTTCCCGCTGCGTGGTGGCTGGCTGCCTCTACAGTGGCTCAGCAAGGAGAGAGACGCGCAGAAGCTCTGAGAACGGCAATCTGCGAACGGCAGGGAGGCGTGCACTGACTTGTGGTGAGGTGAGTGAGAGAAGCTGACACTCTACCACAGTTTGACTCCAGCGGAGGACTTTCTGGGCCCAAGCAGTCCTGTGGGAGCAGGGCGCGGTGGCGACTCCAGCCACACATCCCCCTCTCAGGCGGGATTGGTGAAAAGTGCCTGGCCTGCGTGACGCTGCTGGCGGACCTGGTAGGCTGTCCCAACCCAGATCCCAGAGCCTGACGGTGGCCGGGAGGGGAGACGCGTAGGCTGCCTGGTCCGTAACTCTCTGGTGCGCAGCGGTGAGCAGGAACACCTAGCTGGCGCAATTCGATCAGGCTGTGGCTGACTGGGAGAGAAGCTGGGCCTCTTATATAAGCTTGCATATATAAGGAACAGAGAAGAAGAGGCAGCATGGGAAGAGGCAGCAACAAGAAAGGCTCCTCGGCCCCCAATTCTGAGAAACAGGCAATAGCAGACACCGCACCAATATACATAAGGCACCATATAGAGAGCCTCATAGACCAATTCAGGAATGAAGTTATCAACGACCTGAAGCTAGAAGTATGCAGAATAGTTAGAGAAATGCTAAGTACCACCCAAGAAAAAACAGGCGGTGGAATGGAAGAACAGAAAAAAAGGGGAGAATTGTTTGATGGAGAAAACAGAGAAACCATAGAATACGTGAAGCAGGTTCAAAGGGACTACCAAGATACCAAGAAGTCTATAGAAGACTGGCATAACAGCTTGAAAGAAACTAAGGACAGACTATCTGAACTGGAGGGCAGACTTGTAATATGGGAGAATGAAATGAAAAACTTCTTAAAAATAACAAAGAAACAAACAGCAATAATACAAAGACAAGAAGATGATAAGAGGATCCATAACTTAAGGATTAAGAACATAAAAGAAGAAGTAGGGACACAAACAAGTGAACTACAAAAGCTACTCACAGAAATAATCCAGGAGAATTTTCCTAATTTAGCAAAAGGTAAAGATACTCAGATGTATGAGGCATACAGGACCCCAGCTACCTACAACCCAAACAGAGCAACACCCAGGCATATAATAATAAAAATTCCAGAAATTCAATACAAGAACAGAATATTAAAAGCTGTCAGAGACAAGAAACAGACCACTTACAAGGGAACACCCATCAGAATTACAGCAGATTTCTCGGCACAAACCATCAAATCACGAAGAGCGTGGGGGGAAATAATTCAAGCTTTGAAAGATAATAATCTCCAGCCAAGATTGAGATATCCTGCACAACTGTCCCTGGAAATTGATGGAAAAACAAGGTGCTTCCAGGATAAAGAGGAACTGGGGGAATTTGCAACCACCAATTCAACTCTACAGAGAGTATTGCAGGATATTCTAAAAAAAGAAAAATACAAAGAATCCAGAAATAATGGCAGAGAGGCCACAACGAATGGAGCAGAGAACAAAATGAAGAAGACAAACTGACAGCTACTGACAGAAAAAGAGCTCAACAGAAATGAGGCAGAGAAGATTGGATGATAGGAACAGCTATTTTGGAGAAAATGACATCTTAATAGGTAATACTGATTTAGTATCATCTTGTTTTGAAGTCTCATCTAGCTTTTGTCCTTCTGTCTCCAATAGTCTAAATAGGTTGTATCTTACTGGATTTTATTATGTACGATAGTATAAGCAAAAACCTTGTAAAGACAAGGAGATTATACAGAAACCATTATTCATTTTCTGTTAGTCGATTCTAAATACTCTGTAATGCTGTCATTCTCTTGAATGGTTTTACATTGTTTTGATATACTTAATGCTACAGTATACGAAGTTGTACTCAAGGATTTCAAAGAAAGACAATATGGTACCTACTTTTAGGTTAGGATTATCTGGTGGTGAAACACTATTCTGCTTAAATGGTTATGTTTTGATCTGCGCTGTTTCATTGTTATGCCCTCTTTTATCTCAATCTCCACTCCATTATTTACTTTTTTATCTTTATCCTTTTAATTAAAGGAAAAAAATAGCAGGATATATTATAGTAACCCACTTTGACTTTTCATTACCTTGATTTAAAGCCCTGTATTACTCTCACCATCTGGTTTTTAACTGATGTTCCCCTGTTCTGTTTTGCTGGATAGTATCAGGTTCGAAAGTTTAGGCATCAGCTGTGAAGATAATGAGATTCATTATGACGCCCATTCTTGTTGACTTTTATCTACTTTTGAAGACCTACAATGTCTCCAATGTTTTGGTTTTGTTGGTTTTATTCTTTACTGTTTTGTTCAATTGTATTATAACTAATGATATAGGCAATTCTATTAGAGATAGCGGGAGGCATTATGGTAACCATTGTTGATCACCTTGTATTATGTTTTTACATTATCTATTATGTCCACCCTTTTGACTTGACCGATTCTGTTCTGTTATGTCACATTTGGTTTTACTCTCTTCCAAAAAAGTAATAAGAACCGTGGGAGCAATGAAACCCAAAATGTGTAATAGTCATAGTACAAAAGAGAGGAAAAGAAAGTGCTCCAAACTCTATAACTGCGTGTATATTTAAGTGTATAAGATAGAAAATGATATCACAGAGTTTTATTGGATCAATGAACAGAACTGTTTGCAGTATCATTGATGGAATGTCCACTTTACAAGCTTTAATTTTGTGACTTGAACAATTATTTCTAAGATGACAATATGTAATCCATTAACTAGTGATTTCCTACTGTTCATTTTTTTTCTGTAAATCTGTATAACTTGTACCCTTTCCCTGCTTTTTTTTTTCTTTTCTCCTTAAATAAAATTAAAAAAAAAAATTCGGTGGTTAGATTTGACTGACCTTATAGGAAAATTTAATGTGGTTCTTGTCCAATTCT